TGTATTGTGAAAATCTGTTGCAAAAGACCTCTTTAAAGTGTTAAAAGACAAAGATGTCACTTTGATTACTGAAGTGTGCCCGACCCAAGATAGTCTTTTAAGTTGCCTCATATGCATATGAAAACTCGATAATGAACAAGAAAGATTCATTTGGATTGTGGTGTTAGTGAAGAATATTGAGTATGCTGTGGACTGCCGGAAGAGTGAACTTTTGAGAGGAAGTGAAGTCAGAATACTCTTTAGAAGCCAAACTTCATTTTACTTTCTTTGGGCATGTGACCAGGACAGAACAATTGCTAGAAAAGGACATCGTGCTTGGTAAAGTAGAGGGTCAGTGAAAATGAGGGATACCCCTATATGATGGATTGACACAGTGGCTGAAACAATGGGCTTCAATCTACCAAAGATGGTTAACATGGTGCAGGATAGAACAACATTTTGTTCTGCTGCACACAGAGTTGCGATGAATCAGAGACTATACAAGTGCAACTAATAACAAAAATTGTCTAATTTTCAAGTGTTTGCACAAAATGTCTTTGAGTTTAAAACATTTTACTTTAGGTATTATAGAGTCATTTTCAACTCAAAGCCACCCTATGTGACACAGTAGAACTACCCCGGAGGGTTTTCTTGGCTGTGATCTTTTATGGAAATAGATTATCAGGTCTTTCTTTGCAGAGCCTCTGAGTGGATTTGAACTGCTAATCTTCTTATTAACAGCTGAGTACGGATTTTGTCCCCTGTGGAGCATTTGACATTGTAACATTAGGTTGTCATAGCTGGAGGAGAGGGAGTGCTATTGGCATCTTGTGGGGAGGTCAGTGTTGCTGCTAAATACCTTACAATGCACAGGACAGACCCCTCCCCTCTAACAAAGAATTGTTGTTGTTATTGTTATGTGCCTTTGAGTCGGACTGACTCATAGCGACCCCTCCTTGGGTTTCTGAGGCAGTATCACTACGGAAGTAGATTGCCCTATCTTCCTTCCAAGGAGTGGCTGGTGGGTTTGAACCGCCAGCCTTCTGGTTAGCAATCCAGTGCCTTAGGCACTATGCTACCAGAGCTCCTGGATGGTCCTATAGTCTGTTCTTTAGCAATCCCCTCTTCAAGGCACCAGATGCTGCCAACAATTTATAATTTCAGCAGCTCTTAAATTGAACCTGATTTTAACCTGTTTGGGAAATGAATAGTGGAGAAGAGGAAAGATAAGGTGAAGCACTCTTGGAGGCCCCTTCTCCCCTTCGTGGGAAGATCTGTCAAGCTCTTACTCTTCCAAGTCCACACTTAGACTCTCATTCAAGTCTTATATTAATGAATGCTGAGTCTAGTTCATGTCTGGGAGTGTGGCTGAGGCTAGGCGGAACGTGCACTCATTTTCTGCTCTGAGCTTCCATCTGGACTTCGACTAGTACCAGTGGCATATTCTCTATATACAACCAGATTGCCTGGGAGACAGTGATGCTAGAGTCTCCCAGATGTGAATGGGAGAAATGAGAAGGTAAACAGCCCAATTTGGAATATCATCTGTAATTTGTACTTGCTAAACCATAAGAAGCCATGAAGAAGAATCATCCAATGCTTCCACTATGAAAAGGACTACACTGTAGAAAGACAAGCAGAATAAACTGGGAAATTCAGGTTGTCTGGTAATGAGGTAGCTAGAACTCACCAGAGTTCAAGCTAGCTGACTGCCGTCAAGTCAATTTGACTCATAGCAAGTCGATTCTTTGGTTTCTGAGGCAGTATCTCTATGGTAGATTGCCCAGTCTTCCTTCTGAGGAGTGACAGGTGGGTTTGGACCACCAGCCTTCTGTTTAGCAGCCTTAGGCACTACACCACCAGAGCTCCTTTACCGGTGAGGGGGAGGGACTATATATAAATTTAGCTTCCCAAGGACTGGAACTTCTTTTTTCCTACAACCTGGATCTAACTTCACATAAGGTTTTAAAGGTCTAGAGCTGGCATTGTTAGACAACTAATGCCCTGTATAGTTGACATAAAACTCAGATGCTTGGAACCTGAACCTTGTTTCTTGATTGCCCATTTAAAATGCTGTTCTCATGCTTATAGTAAAACAAACAAACAAACAAACAAAATCAAAACCCAAATAATAAAATTAAATGAGAGAGAGTGATTGTGTGCCTGAGTGTAAAGAAAAGAGCCAGGATCTGCATCTACAGCATAGAACCAGGTGTGTAGGGTAGCATCCTGACTCTTCCATGGCTCTTTCTGGGATTATGGCAGAGCTTGGACTAATAAGATTTCTTATCCTCATAGTGGGTGACATTGTGGTATTTGTTCTTACTTACTCCCCATGTATCCTTAAATATCTCAAGACATGAAAGTTCAATTTGATTATTTAAACTTTTCTGGAAGTCTTTCCAAGATAACAATTCTTTTCATGAATAAAATAATCATGAGCTGTATGAACAGGTAAATACAAAGCAGAATAGTGTTTTATATGCTAACAATAAATTCATACTAAATTAGACCCTCAAGGAAATGGATTGACTACACAGAGGTTGAAATGATGGGCTCAAGCATAACGACAATTGTAAGGATGGTGTAAGACTGGCCAGTGTTTCATTCTGTTATACATAGGGGCACTACGAATCAAAACCAACTCAACGGCACCTAACAACAACAAACTAATAACTGAATACTAAGCCCCAACCAAACCTATCATCATCCAGTCAAATCCGACTCATAGCAATCCTAAAGGACAGTGTAGAACTATTTGATAGGGTTTCCAACGCTGTAAATCTTTAGGGAAGCAGACTCCCATGTTATTCCTGCAGACCAGGTGGTGGGTTAGAAACTCCAACCTTTTGGTTAGCAGCTGCATTAGAGCCTAAAATTTGAAAGCATTTGGTTTGTGGAAAGCTGCATCCTACAGTTGAAGGCTTGACTCCATTTTGAGCCTTGACATAAGTTCGGACACCATTTTGAGTTATCTATATTACTTATCCAATGCTTATGACCACTGAACTACCAAGGTGGCCAGCCAAATTCAGGAAAGCTCAGGGAAAGGCAGTTTGCCCTCAGGAAGGGTAGATTAATTGGGTGGATATGCAAAGAACTAAGGAATTGTCTGGGTGTATCCTTCTTAGAACAAAGAAGATATTTAGCTAAAGGGCAATTACTACCATTACTTTTTGGTTTACTGAACCAACGAAGTTCCTCCTGACTGTTACTAAAAACTATTACCAGTGATAATTTGAAAAACAATCATGATGACTCAAGAGATTTTAGCAAATCTATTGAAAGGTAAAGCTTTTATTGACTAGTAGGAGCTCTGGTGGGAGCTCTGGTAGCATAGTGGCTATGGCACTTGACTGCTAACCAGAAGGCTGGTGGTTCAAATCCACCAGCCACTCCTCGGAAGGAAGATGGGGCAATCTACTTCCGTAGTGATACTGCCTCGGAAACCCAAGGAGGGGTCGCTATGAGTTGGGTCCGACTCGACGGCAAATAACAACAACAACAACATTGTTTGTATAGGAGCTCTGGTAGCGTAGTGCCTAAGGCACTTGACTGCTAACCAGAAGGCTGGTGGTTCAAATCCACCAGCCATTTCTCGGAAGGAAGATTGGGCGATCTACTTCTGCAGTGATACTGCCTCAGAAACCCAAGGAGGGGTCGCTATGAGTTGGGTCCGACTCGACGGCAAATAACAACAACAACAACAAACAAATATTAAATAATAATACTAAATATTAAACTAAACATGATCACAGGTAGTAGGCAACAACCTTTGTGCTGTGTTTTAGTGGGAATCTCAAGAGACCCACCTCTCAAGTTTCAATTTGCGATGACATTGACTCCCCTTCCTACCCGACCTATAATGTTTCTTATCAGTAGCATTTTCAGTTAGACAATAATGTGGGGACATTATTTAGAAAACCATTGTTTGGAGAGGAAGAAGAGTTGGAGGATTAAGAGCTGGATGACTAAACTCTCTCTTACCTCTGCAAGTTTGAACATAGATTTATGTCTATTACACAATTACTTATGAATTAGAGAATATCACCTTGAGGAGGTGGGACAAGGGACAGCAAAATTTTGACTCTACAGAGGTGGGAAGGTCAGTAAGAATGGGACCTTGCTTTGGCATGTAAGGATACATGGGCCAATGGTTACGGGCTTTGTAATTGTGAGGTGAGGAGGGAAGAGTTTAATATATGTAAACTACATACTGTTATTGTCAGTGCCATCAAGGTGGTTTCAACTCATAGTGACCCTATGTACAACAGAACAAAACACTGCCTGGTCCTGTGACATCTTCAGAATTGTTGCTATGCTTGAGCCCATTGTTGCAGCCACTGTGTCAATCCATCTCATTAAGGGTCTTATGCGTTTTCATTGACCCTCTACTTTACCAAGCATGATATCTTTCTCCAGGGACTGGTTCCTTTTGATACGTGACCAAAGTATGAGAGATGAAGTCTGGCCATTTTCACTTCTAAGGAGCATTCTGGCTGTATTTCTTGTTGCCTAGAGCCAATGCTGACTATTGAAAATAAAGATCTTTTATTTATTGTTGCAGGAGCTCTGGTAGCGCAGTGCCTAAGGCACTTGACTGCTAACCAGAAAGCTGGCAGTTCAAACCCACCAGCAATCTCTTCCATAGTGAAACTGCCTCAGAAACCCAAGGAGGGGTCACTATGAGTTGGGTCTGACTCGACAGCACGTTACAACAACAACAACAATAACATTTATTGCTGCATCAGTATACATAAACTATTTTCACATAAAATATTCGACTCTCACAAAACTCTGCGAGGTAGTCAGGTATCCCTGGTTGAGGAAACCAGTTGGGAAGAATTAGTACACTTGCATAGGGCTGCCAGGGAGGCAAGCCAGAGAGCCTAGATAGTGAATGAGCCAGGTCTCCTAGATCCTCACCCAGTACCTTGTTCATCATCCATGGTACTCCCAACACAACCACAGTGTGTACTGATAATTATTTTTGGATAGAAGTACCCCACAGACCCTCATACCTTGATGTGTAGAGCAAATGACCATTAGTTCCTGGCTTGCATCTCCAGACCGCCTCACAGGAATCAAAATCTCCCCAATATCCTCCTCTATTTTGTATTCTGCCTGTGGAATATAAACTGTTGATTCTAGAAAAGATGGCAGAAGACTTTTTAGCAAGATTTAAATTTGATCAGTGATATTTTACTATATCTGAGCAGAAATATATAGTTTTGACTTCTACATTTTTAAACATACTTAACTATATTAAATACAGTGAGAAGGAGAAATATTTATTATTAAGTTGAACTAGAGAGGCAGTGGAATTGAGTGGAGACCCCCTTTGAAAGGTTGAAAAGGATATCCAGTATTATAATGGAAAGGAAAATCTTGCAGCAAGTCTGTGTCTTTTTTTTTTTGAGGTCAAATTTTAGGTCTTCTCTGGTAGCATAGTGGCTAAGACACTTGCCTGCTAACCAGACGGCTGGCGGTTCAAACCCACCAGCCACTCCTCGGAAGGAAGGTTGGGCA